ACCGAACTCACGACGTTGCGCATGCCAGGCAGGCGCTTTTGCCGCTGAGCTAAATCCCCAGCCCCATAATGGAATTATTAATTAGGCAGGCCCGTTTTCGCATTCTAACTTTTTGCGACATTGTTTTGCTTGTGAAACCCATCCCGATAGAGAGCTTGGATGTGTTCAGATGCAATCTCACGTTCTGTTAGTATATGGATTTAAGAGGGGGTGGCAGATGGAGTTAGCCTAATTAAAATGAAAATCTAATTAGTTGAGGAGAAAGAAATTTAATGTGGCACTCCTACCACATTAGCACTCTTTTCTCCCCAGCCACCTTCCCTAGGCTAATTATTCTTATTTAGAGACCACGACATGACTGGGTCCCCTTGCCGCCCCCCTGCCCCCTCTGGAGGGGTCTGAGACCCACAGCATGGCTCCTCTGGAGGGAGGGTTCAAGGTTGCGTGGAGGACCAACTTCTGAGATGTGCCAGTGTCACTCATAACCCTGGGCCTGGAGGGACCTCACTCCCCAGCTGCCCACCGCCCTGTGCATGGTTTTCAGGAGTGTAGATATTGCTCTTTTAATAGCAGGCAGAATCGGAAGTGGGAGCAGGCCAGGGCGAGGGGGGAACTGAGCTCTGGCCTCTAACTTGGATCATGACAACCATCTTTAAGGCAGTGAATTATGGAGGTGGCTGTATCCCTCCAGTTCCTTCAGCTGCTTCATTAAGAAGCGCCATATCATTTATGTACATAAATGTCCAAATCAGTGCTTTGTGCATGTTCCCAGCATCATGCAACTTTACTAGTTCTAGAACCTTGTTCTCAGCTGTAGAAAGAAACCCCATGCGTTCTCCATTATTTCTGTTTCTGCAGTCCGCCCTCCCTACCCCTAAAGCGTCCCCCATTTATTTTCTGTTCTGTGGCTGTGCCTGTTTTGAAGATTTTATATAAATGGAATTAGAGAATATATAATCCTGTTTTGGCTAGCTGATTTCGCTCTTTAGCATAGTTTTCAGGGTGGACCCACATAGTAGCATGTATCTATACTTCATTCCTTTTTATTACTGAATAATCTTCCACTGTGCAGATATACCACATTTTGTGAAGTCAAGTGGTAACAGGTGTTTGGGTTGTTCACGTTTTCCAACTATTATGAGTTATGCTGCTCTAAACATTCATGTATAGGTTTCTGTGTGGACATACGTTTTCTCTCAGATATATATACAGAATTAGAACAGGCGGGTCGTGGAATCACTCCATTTCCAGAAACTGTCAGACTGCGCCAGAGTAAGTGTATGACTTCCCACCCCCAGCAGCAGTGTGCTGGCGCATCTCTGCCAGTGTTTGTCATTTTTGGCGCTGTGGGTTGTGACTGTGCTACCTGTCTCATTGTGGTTGTGATTTGTGTTTCCTTGGTGGTTAATTACATTGAATTTTTTTTTCATGTGCCCATTGGCTGTTGTGTATCTTTTGCTCCAAAGAAATATCTATTCCGATCCTTTGCCATTTTTAAAGTTATTTTTCTTTATTGTTTTAACAATTCTAGGTAAAAACTTCTTATCAGATATGTTTTGCAAAGATTTTCTCCCAATTCTGTGGACTGTCTTTTTACTTCCTGGTAGTATCCTATGAGGAGTAGAAGCTTTTAACTGTGATAAGGGCCTTGTACAAAACATGGACTTCAGTATACAGTCCTTGAGGATAGGACGTAGGAAGTCTGGACTTCGCAGGCCTAGGGCAGGAAGGCTGGAGCAAAAGCTTAGCCCCAGTAGAAGATGAGGAAGCAACACCGCGAGACTTGGATTTCCTAGTCTCTCGTGCCTGAGATCATTTCACTTTGCTGCCCCGAATTCTTCAGTAGGCATTTTCTGAGCCAGAGGTCTCTGTATTGTTTTCACTGTGCCCTCTCAGTGCAACGTGTTTGAACATTAGCTGCCAATCCATGTACATTTGCTTATCAGTAAATTAGCCATAACATTGTCATTAGCCAGCACAAGCAGTACTTGCTTTGCATGGCAGTGTGGGCACCATAAAAATAACCACACAAGCCAACGTTTTGCAAAGCAATTTTAATAGGCAGTGGGGAAAATTACAATTGTCCTGTGACCTTGAAAATGTAAAAAATACATTTAAAACTCTCCGATTGTTGGTTATACATGCATAGGTAAATAGGGAAAATAGTAAAACTAATATTTATTTAGTACACCATAGCTTAAAATGAGAAACATTGCAAGTTAAAATATTTTATTCCTTTGTAAAAGAAAAACTTCTCGAGAGTAGTTTAGACTGCACTTGTCTTCGTCCTCTCCCCACAAAGCTATGATGCAAAGCAAGTGTGCTGTCTGGAACTTGGCAACTTATACTCCGCTCAAAGTTGGGATCAGCTTCCAATATTTTGATATCATGAAATGTCTCCGAAAGCTGTTTAACCTGGAGTTCGTGTCTGTGTCATCTCCTCTGGGACACATTCCTCCTTTTTACCACAACCATTTTTCTGTTTGCGTCAATATTTTGCCTTTATTAAATTCCTCTGACTGCAAAGCTGGAATCTGGACTCTGTGGTCGGCCATTTCTTCTGTGATTCCATTTACGTTCTACTTGACTGTCACCCCTTGACTGCGCCTTCAGTTTTGGGGCCGGCCCACTCACTTTCAGAAAAGGTCCTAAGCCAGTCTCTCTCCGGGAGACAGGGACATGGCACAGCTACACACTCTGCCGCGTGCGTGCGGCTAACTTTGAAAGAGGTGACGCAGTTGCTTGCTGCTCATGCAGCGTATTTGTTATTTACGTAGCGATTTGTAGACTGAGGCAGTAGAGCTTGTTCTGTACGCAAATTACTGATCATTTAATATACTATGGAAACTAAAATTGGAACTGTAAGATGGAGAACCAATATTATTTAACTAAAGCTAGGTAACTGAAGCGTATATATGCCTCAGTATATATATGCAAAATAAGGGCTGTCTCTATTCCAAAGCATGACATATGCTACTAAGTCAAGGTTCGTGGTTAATAATAGTATGTACAATCCATACTTTAAAAAGTCATCTTTTTTTTTTGGTTTTTCTCCGGTACCGGGAACCAAACTCACGACCTTGCGCTTGCCGGGCAGGCGCTTTTGCCGCTGAGCTAAATCCCCAGCCCCTAAAAAGTCATCTTGATAATTTTGATTTTTGAAAATCAGATTATGTTTACTGTTTCTTATTGTCGTTCTTACTTTATGATGAGGCTTTCAAAGGACCCACAGCAGGGGGAGGCTGTGCTTCCTTCACTGCAGTCATACTCTGGATTTTTTCGTAGTAATCTACTTGGGTCATTTGTAAAAGTGAGTTTGAGTGACATCAGCTAGCCGCAGATCTGTGACCTGGGAACTCACTAATATGTCAGTCTCGGTGCACTAAAAGCTGCCCCTCAGCATCCCTGCCCTCACCGGACCTGTTCTGTGACTCTCCGGCCCTTCTGCTGGGCGCTGTCCATCCCACACAGGGTCACGCCACAGGACCGTTCGGCAGCAAAGTTGAGGTGGGACACCAATGTTGAGACATATTTTAAACATCTGCAAAGCTTACTTTCCTAACATTTAGCTAAGAATTGGAGAGGCGCTCCAATGTTGCCGCGTTGGAGACCACCAGCCTGAACATCTGGCTGTCCTCCAGTTGTGCTCCGTTAGGAGGGGAGGCTCTGTGCCTCTTAGCGGCAGCACGGTCTGCGGCCCCAGAAGGTCCCTGAAGGCACTGTCCACGGTTCCTCTTGCACAATAGAATCACCTGGGAAAGTTTGAAAATGCACAAAGGGTAAAGGTCTCACCCTAGACCTTTAAATAAAAACCTCTGTGTGGGAACCCAGGAATAAAGCAACTGCATTTTTAAAAAGCCCATAGTGGGTTTTAATGTACAAATAAGTTCGGGTGCTACAGCCTCAAGGGAAGAAGGTAAATCTCTGAAAGTCTTCCTCTTCTGCCAGTCTTGAAGGACTCTAATTTATAAGTGATCGTATGTGGTATACATAAAACTCATTATACATATATTGCATGTATATATATCTAAAACTGTGCATTATATCTATAATGTGCGTGTGTGTGTGTGTGTGTGTGTGTGTGTGTGTGTGTGGGCATCCTCCTCTGACTGCCAGCCTTTGTGTTGCTTTCTTACTGACATATATTTCCCAAGGAAAGTGGCTTTTGCAGTCACATAAATGCTAGAAGACACAGGTTCCTAAGCTTTCCAGCCATTTCTGGCGGCTCTCCCTGCCAGAGGTGATTCTGTGGCTCCGGATTGGGCCCAGGCCTCCTTATAGCATTCGGCCTCAGCTTTCTACCTGGAGTGTGTCGTCCAGGTAGAAGACACAGCCCCACTGGCCGTTCCTGGTGGACACTAACTAGTACAGTAACCATCGCCCAGACAGGGTTTTGCCCAGCAAGATGTACTGAAGCGGGGCTGGGGATTTAGCTCAGCGGCAAAAGCGCCTGCTTGGCAAGCGCAAGGTCGTGAGTACGGTTCCCAGTACCGGAGAAAAACCAAAAAAAAAAGATGTACTGAAGCACAATGAGATGCAGTCAGCCCCAAAAGGATGGAGGCCAGAGACCCTCAAGAGAGACAGAGTTGCTTTCCATGTACAGAACTGCAAAGAGGCCAGTGGAGTTGCGCCCAGGAGCCGGGGTTTGTGGTTCCCTGACTGCCGCCCAGACCTGGCTCACGCAGGCTATGGCTGAGGCTCACTTGCGTCTGAGGGAGTTTACTGACCCTCAGGTTTGTGGCCCTGCTTTAAGTAGTTGAAGCATAAGGGGTGATGCAATCTGAGTTTTTCAGGCTTCCCTGAGTATCTACCCATTTCGGCAAGATAAGGGTGGTGATTATGGAGGCAGCTCAGGCTGCCAGCGTGCAGTAATTCTCCATCCACACCTCCCTCCCTGGCCACATTCTAGTGTTCAAAGAATAAACGGGGAGAATCTCCAGTGCTCTTAGTGTATTGAGACTTAACTTTTGAATACTGGTCCAAAAGAATTACGCCATGTCTTTGGTAGCAGGAGCACATGTGTAAGACTTTTATAGGAAGGACTGAGTTTTCCATGATATGTACAAGTTGAGTCATTACTTAAATTTTTATGGTTTTTAGAGCCATAGCCCTTACCATCAGCCAGCCAGGCTCTGTGTGACTTACAGGAAGGCAGGGGAACTTTGGGTAGGGCAAATCCAGGGTCACACCTCGCTCCTGCTGCTTGTTATTTGTGCAAAACTAAGTGATTTGAACTCTCTGAGTCTTAGTTTTCTCCAAAAATGAGATGTTATATCTACCTTGAGGGAGTTTTGTAAAACTTGGATTTGAAAACAAATGCAAAGGTCTCGATGAAAGGGGCAGCATTTCTATTCTAGAATTGAGGGACTATCTTCTATTTCTTGAACAACCCAATCATATTTTAAGTGGATGGACGGAGGTGACTAAAGAAGACCTTAGGAACTGAATGTGGTGGTGCATGCCTATAATCCCAGAACTCTGGGAGGCTGAGGCAGGAGGACTGCAAGTTTGAGCCCATCCTGGTTAATTTAACCACTTACAGAGCCCCTATTGCAAAATAAAAACTAAAAAGGGCTAAAGATGTAGCTCATTGTAAAGGCCCTGAGTTCAATCCCCGGTGCTGAATGGAAAACAAAAAGGGAGGCCTTAGGTGAACTTTTTTGCAAAAGAACAAAGTTTTTTGCAAATCAAAACCCTCACAAAGCCTCTTCTGTGCTTGGTGTGGTAAGCTACCCAGTGCGGTGGAAAGAAACAGGAGGGGTGCCCTTTCACACAGCAGCTCCGAGTCCAGGGGAGGGGAGAGGGCAGTGCTAACAGCTCCTCCTTGCTGGCCTGATTGTCGCTCTGCCTTTCCGATGCCTTCTGACATCTTCTCCCCTTGGAGTTTGGGGAGGGGGGCAGCTGTAATTGTCACCCTCAGGTGAGGAAATTGAGTGTCCCGGGGCTTAGATCTTGACCACTTAGACTGACACCCCGCACCCAGTTCTCCCCACGTTGCCTTCTATACCCACGAAGCAATCAGAGAACACAAAGCCCTCCGCAGACAGCCAGCTGGGCCCTGTGGACGTGAAAGGGTCTGAGATTTGCATGCCGACATTCTCTTGATGAGGCCGCTCTGCCTTGGCCTTTCCGTCCCACCTGGTATTGTTTGCAGAAGTGCATGCCACTGGCCCCAGCTCACCTCCTTAGTGCTGACTTGAAAATAATTAAAGCACATGTGAAGCCAGTGCATGCATCCATCTTCCAAGCAGCTGAAAAAGAAAAAAAAAGTTTCTTCTAGAAAATGAATTAACTGCTGGAATCAAGAATGCAGTAACTGGGCCAGGGATGTAGCTCAGAGGCATAAGCGCTTCCTTGGCAAGCCTGAGGTCATGAGTTCGGTTCCCGGTACCAAAAAAAAAAGAATGCAGTAACTCCTGGGTGTGGTGGCGCATGCCTGTCACCCCAGCACTTGGGAGGCTGAGGCAGGAGGATCACCGAGAGTTCAAGGCCTGCCTGGGCTACAAAGTGAGACCTTGTCTCAAAAAAAAAAAAGGATGCAGTAAGTGTTTTAAGAAATTCACAGTTTTTAAAGCTGTTTTTAATAAGTGTACAGTGGGCCTAGGGCTGCTCACCTACCTTGGGCCCGAACTCTGTGGCCTGGCTAATGGGGTGTGTGAGTGCCAGGCAGGTCGTCAGTGTCGCTGGCATTGTCGGCGTCATCACGACTTTGGTTTTTGTTCTCTTCACCGCATCATTTTCATCCTCATCACGTCATTGTCGTCGCAAACAGCCCTTTTATGTAATGCTGTGTTTCAAGGACACAGAGACATGTTTCTTTAATAAGCTCCAAACTTTTCCTTCTCCTCCTCCCAACTACCTCTCCATTTTTGCTGCTCCGGGATTTGGCAACCCAGTTTAATTTATGATAAGACACTCTGGAACATTGAAATGAGATAGCTTGGGTTGACTGGGGGAAAAAATAACTTCATCTTACCTCGTGAAGCAGAAGACATCATGCTCCTTGATTCCTTCTCTCTGTCCTTGAAAATAGAACATCTGCCATGGAGCACACCTGTGCCGAGCTCCAACGTGAGTCTGGGGCAGGCGTTGCCAGAGCACAATTAGACAATTAAAGCTAAATTCCACCTACTGAGGCAGACTGCAGAATACCAGTGGTTTGACCTGCACTGGGATGAGGTAAATTACCCCGGGAGGTGGGTGATGTCATGGAGTTGGTGTTAGCGGGGAGTCAGTGGTGCCCGCTGGCCCCGTGGTCTGAGGACTTTGGATGTAGCACATACTTCAGCTCTTTTTCTTGTCTGCTTCTCACCTTTGCTTGAGGCGTTACCCTCGCCCCCTCTTCCTTGGGGTAAACAACTGAGGACCTGGCCGGCCCCCCGCCCTGTTCTGCCTGCAGAGCGCTGGCCCTAGCTGGGGAGAGTCTTTTGATTTGTTTAGTACCTTCTGTCTTCTTTACTTTCCTTGCTCTCCCGCCCAAGTGTAACATGGTGAAGACAGACCTTCTGCCTTTTCTGTGTGCCCGCCTCCCAGAGCAGACCCAGGCACGCAGCACGCCCTTGCTATGCTTGTGCTGCATAGACGCATTAAAAATGTTTCAGATAACGCAAAACAGAAAACATACACGACAGCCTAGGGACGAAATCTTGCTTGCTAAGTTGGTTTTTCTTTGGTTTTTTGCCTACACAAAAATATTAAAAGATAATATTCCATATGAAAATACTGAATTGATGGCCAGCGTTTAAATATCGCAAGCCCTTATACAAACAGCCACACTTCCGGGTCCATTTGGAAGATCTGAGCACTGAATCGGCCTTAAGAGAAGACTAGAAAATCCTAGGCTGGGAAAGATGCAGACACTTGGTCTTACCTGGTCTTCTGCCTTACCGTGCGGGCCTGGTCTCAAGGGGTTACAGGCTTGCCTTTGAAACCAGAATTCCTCGGTTTGAACTGACATTATTACTTTCCGGCTGTGTCCGGTGAGGCAGTGTATTTCATCTCCCTGTGACTGGATTCCCAAGGCTGGGGGCGGGGTGAATGAGGCCTCTCGAGAGTGAACGGCCGAACAGGGACCGAAGTCAGCTGAGCAAGCAGCTGTCTCTTCCACCGGGACCCTTCATGCATCTCCACCTCCTCGGGACACCGCCCAGCACACTGCCCTCCTCCTTGGGACCTGGCTGGCCCTGGCGTCATTTAGATGGGTGTCGCTGACAGCACAACCAGTGTGACAACAATCCCACACCCTCCACCAGGAATGGCATCATGTGCTGTATGCCTGCTCTGTACCAAGCCTGAAGCCAGGCCCTTGACGTACTTCATCCTCTTTTCTTTCCGATATCAGTACCCCTACAAGGTTGATGTCACATGGCTGCTGCACAGATACAAAACTGGAAGTTCAGAGAGGTTAAGTAATTGGTCTAAAGCCACACAGTTGGTAAGTAGCAAAGCAGGAATCAATCTCGGGCACCAAATTTCAAAGAGTCCTGTTTCTCTATGTTCCCAATATGGGGACACGCACCACACTGGTTTACAATGACTTTATATATCACTAAGATGGCCTTAGATGGTGAGAAAAATGGTTTCAGTTGGTATAAAATTCTGCATTAAGTTAAATAAAGAACACAGCAAAGAAGACACAATGGACCCCAAAGATTCATGGGGGTTACATTCATAGGGCATCTGTGAATTGCGAAAAACCACAACTTTCAGATATAGTCAGAAAAATGCTTATAAATGGCTATTTTTATCGTTTAACCCCTAAATATGCTGTCTCCCACAGTTATGTAATTTAATTTAATAAAATATTGTATATAATACTGTAGTAATTTAATTTAATAAAAATATGTTCAACCTTCTGGAGTGTCTTAAACTTCTTTTGGCATGTAGGTTCATTGCCAGAAGCCTTAGGAGGTGCAGGGCATTTTGGCGGCCTCTTAGGGACCTCAGGGCTGTGAGAAGAACAAAACCGAGAACTCTTGAGATAGCTGTGCGCAGTACAGCAACCTGTTACCATTCGGGAATGCTGGTCCATCTGGGGGAGATAGGTTACAGGGCAACAGCCAATCAGCAGCAAGGAGAACTGAATAATGACCTTGGATTGGTTACTTGCAAACCCCCACCAAAAAATCTCTCTCTTTCTCTCTCTCTCTCTTTCTCGCTCTCTCTTTTATTTCTTGTTTCTGCAAAATTGTGGGGGTTTCTCCCAACCAGTGACTGCGGGGATTTCCGCCAATGACTGAGGCTGTGAACTCAACTGCGACTTCACGGGATTATACTGTAATACATTTTCAGTTCTCTCACAAACCTGAAGAGAAGCTCAAGTCAGTGTTAGTCCTTTTAATTTCAGTGTACTTATTTTCAATGAATTCCAATGTGATAATAATATTTTATGCATTTTAGTTATATTAATTGAAAATCTATTTTTTTCAAATGTATTTTTAAAATATTTTGGTACTGAGGACTGAACCTCGGGCCTCACGCTTGCTAGGCAAGTGCTCCACCACTGAGCTAAATCCTCAGCCTTTGAAAATGCATTTTGAAGACTGGCATTCAAACTAGGAGAGAAAATGCTCTGCTTACATTGCCACCGAAAAGTAAGAGCCTCTGGAGATATGTTTTTCTCTATATTGAAACATAATTGAATTAAAAGCCAAATATTTTTATTTGACCATTTCTGGAGGAATTCTTTTGGAAAGAGCTTGTCAGGTAGAAGTAAAGGTTTGCTAAACTCACAGGCTTTGTTTTTTTTGTTTTTTTTTTTTTTTTTGTTTTTCTCCGGTACCGGGAACCGAACTCACAACCTTGCGCTTGCCAGGCAGGCGCTTTTGCCGCTGAGCTAAATCCCCAGCCCCTCACAGGCTTTGTATTCCAGGCCTTTTCAAGTGATGTATCATTTAGTGCAATCTTCATGGGTCTTCTGTTACCAGGTCTTTAACCTCTTTTACTTGTAATCTCTTTTCTCTTAAACAAAATAAGTTAGTTCTATTGTCAGAGCCTCTGCTGGACAAGGATGTCTATCTAGCAAAATGTATTAACTGGTTAAGGGATATTTATTTTGTATTTATGGCCAGTACAAATCGTTTTCATGTATAATAATTATATAAATCAATAAGCCAATTATATCTGTGCTCAGTCCATAACACTGTATTAAGATCTGTTGACCTGGCTACAGGGAAGTTAAGACTTTCTGTTCTCTACAGGTTTCCTCATTTGAGTGTCTGTAATAAACTGACAGTAGACAGATTAACATACAGTATCCTGAGCTACAGAAAGGAACAGGCGCTTGGGGCTTCTGGGCAGGGGTCATAGGAGCGGGTGGAAGGATAGTATCATGAACAGGGGTTCTCATGCCGTGTAGATAAATGTTCTGCAGCACAGCAGGATAACCACGGTTGACAACAGGTAAGCGTATGTGTCAGAATAGCTAGAGTTTGAATGCTCCCAGCACAAAGCAATGACAGATGTTTGAGGTGATGGATATGCCAGTTACCTTGATTCAGTCATTGCACGTTGTATACGTGTATGAGAATCTCACATTGTACACCATCAATGTATACAACTATTATATATGGATTAAAACTTTGTAGATAGCTAGATCTTCCAGGTAATAGCCCACAGAAGACTAGGTGACCGGCAGTGCCACAGACTCTGGCAAGGTATTGATAAGATGTGGCAATTTCCCTTGTCACGGGGAAATTGATTCTTTCCCTATGAAAGAGTCAGTCTGCAGGTGATGAGCTACTGGGGAAGAGATCCTTGTCCGTGGAGTTCCTTCTGAGTAGGTCTTGAAGCAGACAAGGGAAATTCCCAAATGTGTTCATCTTAAAGTAATCAGGACCCCAAAACACTGCAGCTTAGGCTATGGTTTTCTTGGCCCAACATGGCATACATCACGGAGGTAGGATTTCAGTGACATTTGGGGACGTGCCTAAGGGGAGAGGACGTGGATGCCTGCCATTCTCACAGGCAATCCCTGGGCCTCTGCTTAAATCTCACAGCACAGCTGCCAGGGCTGGCTTGGCCTCCGTGTGGCCTTCTAGCTGTCACGGACAGCAGAGCCCTGCTAGACTGTCCAGTCCAGACGGAGGAAGAGGAGAGAGGGTGTGAGTCCATTACAAGTCCATCAGCTCTGGACACTGGAGCACAGGTCCTGTTCTCCAGGACCAGAGACTGTGGGCTGGTGACTTGGTGACCACCCACCAGCAGATGTTCAAATTATGGATCCTGACAGGGGGAAGCAGGCCGTGTGGAGTTATGGATCAAATCCACTACCCCGACTCTTTGAGAAAGAAACGTGCATTCTCAGGGATTTCCTCCCAGACATTGGGTTATTGGCCTAGTGGTTGAGGACTTTTAGGCGGATAAAGGGAGCCCTGTATTGGATTCTCGATCTTGCCTTTACCATTATTTTGACCTTGGACAAGTCACTCAACCTCTTACCATCTATAAAATGGAAATGATGTATGAGATGTAAATTCTAGAACCCCATACACAGTAGGGATTATGTTTGTTGAAGATGAAGGTAAAGGTGGATGAAGGAATGGGAACATTGTATTCCTCTAACCTGAAGTTCTGAATGCCAGCACGTTGCCCTGGGATCCCTATTTGACTGTGTGTTAGTTGGGCCTCTCAGAGGAACAGAAGCACTAGGATTTGTTGACTGCTATGCAGAGAAAGAGATTTTAACCGTTCCACGCAGTAATGGATGGAGGTATGTCTAAAGCTTGCCGAGTTGCCAGCAGGCTGGAGACTCAGCGCTGAGTTGCAGTTCAAATCCAAAGGCTGTTTGTTGGTAAAATCCTCTCGTTTGTGGAAAGTCAGTCTTTTTCTGATTGGATGAAGCCCACCTACATTGCGGAAGGTAATCTGCTTGACCCAAAACCTACGGATTTATACACTAATCTCATCTAAAAAGCCCACCTTGATAAGAATATGTGGGTTTCATGGTCTAGTCAAGTTGATACATGACATTCAACATGATAGATCGTGTAGCCATTGTGGAGTAGCCCTTGGAAGGCTCACTGGTAGAGCTCAGCTGATCGCCTTCCAGCAAAGATTTGAGGCTAAACAGCAAAGATTTGAGGCTAAGCGGAATTCTTTATTGCAGTGGGCATAGCCCTGATGCAAACCGGTTGGAGGAAAGTCAAGGGAGCAGCTCCTGCAAGCACTGACCCAATAGTTCAGACTATCTAGGGTTCCCACCTCTGAGCCCAGCGAACCCAGGATGGCGTGAGGACCTTCCCTGTTCTGTCTGCCTTTGCAAGCAAGTGTCCCCTGGTTGTTGTGAGGTTGCTGCCAGCTGCTGTTGGCTTCACATCTTCACAGATCCTTTATCCTCTTTGAACTTCTGACACAAATCCCGGACCTGAATCTCAGTGGCTCATTTGGGCCCTGTGTTCATCCCTGGACCAGTTGCTGTGCCAAAGGCGATGAACGCCCTATGTAGCATAGATCAGAGGCCTGGGACCCCCTCTGCCCCACCTGAATCCCGTGGACAGAAGCCCAGCCACAGAGCGTTTCCCTTTGGAAGGTCCAGGGGAGATTTCCAGGAATGAGGCGGGACGCGGCCCGCCGTCGTGTGACAGCTCCTCCGGCCCAACTCCCCTGGCCTTGTCTCCTCCCCGCATGTCTCACACCTCTCTTTTTTCTCTTTTCCTTTCTCTTCTCGCCCATCACAGTGCGTAAAGTACTTTCTATGCCTTTAAAAACCTGGTTCTTTCTTCTTTCCTTTTGAAATTTCCAATTTGTCTAAGAAAGCAGATGCCTCTGAAGCGAGCTGCCTGAGAGAGCAGTTTCCAGCCTCTTCCTGAACGTGCAATCATCGCCCAGGGACGGTTTGGTACTGGCTGATCATCACTGCTGGCGCTTATGTTCCCAGTGTGGGAGGAAGGAACTCGGCGTGACTTAACGCCAAGTGGTGCGAGGAGGAAGGCGAGTTATGCTTCCTGGATCTTCCCTTTGTCTGCCTTAAGCCGGAGGTCTAAAGGAGGGGCTGGCAAGGGAAAATGGGGACTGACCTTTGCCTTACAGTACTCAACTGTTCAGAAACAGCAAAGATTTGAGGAGAAGCTGCTTGATTTTTTGGTCTTAATCATGTGTGTGTGTGTGTGTGTGTGTGTACATATGTGACAAGTTTATTGATATATAACTCACATGTATGACTCATTCATTCATGCAAAGTTCTAATTTTTAAGCATTTGCAAGGTTATAAAACAACTAATACCTAAATTTGGAATATTTTTATCAATCCCTAACCCAACCCCCAAATGCTGCAAACTATCAAGCAGTCACATTCTGTTCCTCTTCTCCTTCAAGGCCCAGAAAGCACTAATTTGCTTCTGTATGTGAACATCTCACATAAGTGGAATCATACGACATGTAGTCTTTCATGCTTGGCTTCTTGCACTTAGCATACTGTTTGTGGGTTCCGCAGTAGCATATATCGGCATATCTTTCCTTTTATGTCCAAGGCCAAGCAATCTTCTGTTCGAGGAAGTGTTGCCATGAACGTGGGGGATACAAGTGTTTGTGTGTGTGCATATGTTTTCACTTCTCTTGAGTGTGTGTCTACGAGTGGAGTTGGTGGATCACATGGTGAGTGTGTGCTTAACTTTCGAGGGGCTGCCCAACTGTCTTCCAAAGCAGGGGCATCATTTTACATCCCCTGCGCGATGTAGGGAGGTTCTAGCTTCTCCACATTTTCATCAACCCTTTTGCTGCCTGACTTTTAATGACAACCATTCTAGGGGTGGGACGTGGTAGGTAGCTCACTGTAGTTTTGATTTGCATTTCCCTATTGGCCAGTGACACTAAGAATCCTTTATGTGCTCATTGGCC